TTTTAAAAAAAAAAAAAAAAAAAAAAAAAAAAAAAAAAAAAAAAAAAAAAAAAAAAAAAGAAATATGGACAGTAATGGCCATACTGAGGAGATCTCAGATGTAAATGAGAAGGGACTTATTGGAAACTGGGGTAAAGGTCACTCTTTCTATGAACTTGCAAGGAACCTGGCTGCATTCTGTTCATGCCCAAAAGATTTATGGAATGTGGAATTTCAAGGTGCTGACATGGGGCATTTGGTGGAAGAAATTCCTGAGAAGCAAAGCATTATGGAAGCTGCACAGCTATTTGCAACAGCCTACGCTGAATTATGAAAGAAAATGCATGAGGTAAAACTAGAATTTATAATTCAAGAGAAAACAGAGGGCAAAAAATTGGAAGAATTTCAGACTGGACATGAAAGCAAGGGTGTAGCCCAGTGACCCTTTGTTAAAGAGATTAGTACAGAAGAAAAGGATTATCAAGATAAGGGGGGAAAAGATCTTGAAGCATTTCAGAGGGTGCCTCTTCAATTACAGGCCTAGAGGCCTAGGGAAACACAATGGTCTTGGAGAACAGGCCCAAGGTACCCTCCATGGGCTCACTACTGAGGGCCACTTCAGGCAGCTGCTACCAGCACCAGCACCCCAGCTCTTTTCGCTGGAGAACAGGCCCAAGGTACCCTCCATGGGCTCACTACTGAGGGCCACTTCAGGCAGCTGCTACCAGCACCAGCACCCCAGCTCCTTTCGCTACTCCAGCTTCAGCTGAATTGGCCCCAGGTGTGGCTGGACCCACAGCTTTGGAAAATACAAGCCAGAAGCCTTGGCAGCATCCACGTGGTGTTAAGTCTGCAGGCTCACAGAATGCCAGAGCTGTTGAGGCTTGGGAGCCTCCACCCTGATTTCAAAGAATGTATGGAAAAGCCTGGGAACCCAGGAAGAGATCTGTCATAGGGGCGGAGTCACCGCAGACAGCCTTCACTAGAGCAATGCTGAGTGGAAATGTGGGGCCAGAGTTGCAGCAAAAAACCCCCATCAACGCCATGTCTAGTAGAACCATGAGAATGGGACCACCATGGACACCCCAGACCTGTAGAGCTACCAGCATGCAACGCCAATCACAAAAGGACAAATACTGCATGATCACACTTACATGAGGTACCTAGAGTAGTTAAATTCAGAGACAGAAAGTAAAATGATGGTCATCAGGGATGGGGAAGAGATGAATGGGGAGTTATTGTTTAATGGGTACAGAGTTTCAGTTTTGGGAGATAAAAGTTCTGGAGATGAATAGTGATGATGGTTGCACAACAGTATAAATATACTTAATGCCACTGAACTGTACACCTAAAAATGGTAAGTTTTATGTTATGCATACTTTTCCATGATTTTAAAAAAGTAACTTCCCATTTCTTACATGGCATAGCACATCTGTGTGCCCTTACTTTTTACTCTGGGAACAATTTTTTTTTGACAGCAAAGAATAGTTTCTGGAATATCTCTGGAATAAGTATGACTGTTCAGATAATAAACTTCTTCATTTAATTAGTGCATAATGCCACAGGATGTCACTCTTTAGCTGAAAAACTGTTCCCATTCGGTTCAGTAGTAATGCCCAAGCAAAGACTACTTATCAGAGATTCACACATTCAAATACAGTTTTCTGGGAAAGAGGGTTTCCATCTGTGAAGTGTATACTTATCTATTCCTATTCATGAAATTTATTGTAATATTTCTTAACTTTATAGGTACAAATTGGTTTTCCTTGGTGTGATTAATTGGTGTGAATAACACATAACTCGTTTTGAACGTAGTAGTAAAATACAAAGCCAAAATGTAAAGATCACTGATCATTGAAAGTTAGATGGCTTGTGGTTTTATCACAAATGATGTGTGACCTTGGGAAAGTCATTTAATTTCTTTGACTTTACCAGTTCATCAGAATGGTAAAAACTTCCTACCTTAGGTCAATATACATTACTCTATATTTAATATATACTACTATATATTTAAATAAACTGTTCTAATTCTAAAGTGTTTTGGTTTTTATAGCAGTAAGCAAATTATAAGTGTTCTAATACAATACCAATAGGAGTTCAATAATAGAGAATACTATCTGCAAGAAGACAGGAAATATAATGAGACTTCTTGACATTTTAGGGGGGATTTTAGGAAAATATTTACTCATGTAAAACAATTATCATCAGAGTTATAAACTCTTGAAATGAAAAAAAATCACATTTATTACTGAGAACATTTTTAAAAAGATGATGGAATATCCTAAAGTTTAAAACATAGCTTTGCTTAAATATAAAATTTTGTAGATTCAAGAACACATTGATTCTTGAACATTATACCATTTGTCAGCACCACGCTCTCCCAAGTGAGCCAACTGGCCACCCCTATACAGGGATCCGAACCCCTGGCCTTGGTGTTATCAGCACTACACTCTCCCAAGTGAGCCACGGGCTGGCCCTTACCATTTGAATTGGTAACAATGCCTTTCAAGTATAATGCAAATAATTTTTTAAACTTCTAATTTTTGAAAAACATTTATAACTGATTTATAATACTTAAAAATAATGAAAAGCGCAAATGCTCACCTTTGGGTGAACTGCTAGCAGGACACCACAGTATGTTAATAAACAATAATATTACATTTTTTTTAGTAGTAACAATTATTAAGAATAAGTTATTAGGACAAGAAAGACTACTGGAAATGGGTGAAAATATAAGACTCAGAATGATATAAAAAATAGAAGGAATGTAAGTAGTGTAATTGTGTAAGTAGTGCCTGGTTTAGAATAGTTGTTTTGTTTCATTTTATTTAGCTCTTAAGACTTACATCTTTCTGTGTAACTTTTATTTTTCAGATGATTGAGTATATAAAAGGAAAGAAAAGAAAGTTTTGTTTAAATTTGCATGATTATTTTAAACATTGGAAGCAAAACACAAGATTTCATGTCACAGGGCCGCTTCTATTATACATCTTGGGGGTGTGTGTGTGGCGTGGTGATGGGAAATCTCCCAGGGTGAGAGAAGTCTGGGAGGGGCATAGTGGGGGAGGCCCCTTCTGTCCCATTGATAACGTGTTCATCCACAGGGAGCTAGCTAAAACAGACTAAACCGTCTTGCAGTCACTCCCTCTACCCTAATAAGGCCTTCAGGCACCTCTTCCAGAACTCGGTAAGTTCGAAGAGCAATAAAAATGCGTTTCCGAAGAATAATTTTAAATGATTTTGTAGATGGTTTATTGTAGGGTGGGGAAGGGAAGCGGGGAAAGAGTGAAGGGGGTGTAGAGGTGGTAATTACCAGGCATCGCGTATCTATTTTGTATTTGCATGGAGAAGAAAATCTCAATGCACAAGTGGTTTCAAGACGATTATTCAGACAGCAAGCGGTTTCCCCCAGGAAAGTTCTTCAGAGGGCCCTGCGAAATCAGCTTGCGGCAAGTCCGGGGACGGGGAGTTCGTAGGTGTATGTGCCTGGGCGATGAGCTGCACCCAGCTCAGCTAGTAGCCGTCTCTGTCTCTGTCCGCAGCTCCAGGGGATACTCCTCGCCTGGCCCTGCCTCCACTGAAGCGCCCAGGGGTCCCAGAAGTGCGGAGTGTGGACACCACTGGCCATGAGTCCTCCGAGGCCAACAGCGTCGCTCTTGCTGCTATGGCTACTGGGTGGCTGCCTCTTCGCGGCCGCCCGGAGGGTCAAGGGGGCGGCTGGCAGCGCGGCGGAGCCGGCTCCCGGCCCCCCTGGCGGCTCCTCGGGTCGCTTCGTCAGCCCCGAGCAGCATGCGTGCAGCTGGCAGCTCCTGCTGCCCGTCCCGGGGGCCGCAGCTGACAGCGAGCTGGCGCTGCGCTGCCGGGGCCCGGACGGGGCGCGCCATCAGTGCGCCTACCGCGGGGAGCCGGAACGCTGCTCCGCCTACGCCGCTCGCCGCTCGCGCTACTGGAAACAGGTGCTGGGCCGGCTGCGCAAGAAGCGGCGGCCCTGCCACGACCCCGCGCCCCTCCAGGCCCGCCGGTGTGCCGGCCAGAAGGGCCACGGCGCCGAGCTGCGCCTAGTGCACCGCGCGTCCCCGCCGTCCGGCCCCACCGTCGCTGGCTTCCCCGGGGAGCCCGCGTCTGGCCCAGCCGCCCGGGCCCCGCCTCCCGCGAGTGCGCTGCCTAGAGAAGAGCCCTCCGAGAGGAAGACCAAAGGGGATAAGCGCAAGGCGGCCACGGACCCCGACGAGGAGCGGCCCATGGGGACCGGGCCCGACCCCGACGGGCTGGACGAGAACGCCGAGCTCACGGAGACCTACTGCGCGGAGGAGTGGCACTCCCTCTGCAATTTCTTTGTCAATTTCTGGAACGGCTGAGGCTGCTGTCCAGGGGAGGGAAGAGGGAAAGATGGGGGGAGGGGCTCAACCCAGCGGGGGAGGGGTAGCCGAGGGCGTCTTAGACCGAGGGACACCGGGATAGGGAGACGGGAGGAGCCCATGTTGTAGAATGGGGCGGGGTGGGATGGAGGCTTGAGATGAGAGTGTAAGTGGTGTGGGACAGCAGAGAAGTTAGCATTTCTGAAGAGTTTCAACCCTGATCAAGAGCAGAAGTAGTGGAAACAAGTAGGTGTACCTTACATGTGCGAAAACTGTAGACTGCGGGGAGAGAGGGGTACAGAGAGAGGCTGAGAATAAGGGGGAACTAGACTAAAGTCATGTGAATCTCCTGTGGGAAGAAGGATACAATGTTTAACATATTTATGTTAAAATGTAATCATGAACCATCGAGAACCTGAGCCGGGTTGAATTGTTTAATGCCTTCTCGACTAATCAGCTGACAAGATTACAGGCTTCCCCCCCCCCCCCCCCCC